AAAAGCCGGGCATGAGTTTCGACCTTGACGAAACGGAACTCGACCTGACTTACAATGAGAGATATCGAGTAAGTACTTAATTTAAAATTTAGAAAAAAATTAAATTAATTTGCCTTATCCAACGTTGATCACCTGTCATTAATCCAGTCAGTTATGTTGTTTCAATTTATCGATGAAGTCTATAATAAATATCACGTAACATATCCGATTTTACCCCTGCTACTCAAATTGCAGACGATTTGCCATTTCATCATTGAGTGTAGGTGTGAGGTTTTAACATGGTTCTCTCAACCATGAATTGGTAAACCACTTGCGAAATCCATGATGTTTTCGACAATACATCTGACCGTCTTTAAATTCCAGATACACGGCTTGAATGTCATATAAGTACGAGATTGTCCATCAACTTCAGCGTTCTGGCTTAAAGAAATACGATTCACGGTTAATTGCTTGGTTTCATTCGTAAATCCAATTTTTACGTATTATTAATACATTGATTATGCAAATTTAATGATTATCTCTCGTTTTAGAATATAAAGTTGCCAGATGCGTACGAGAGGTTGCTGCTGGACGTCTTCTGCGGTCTGCAGATCAATTTTGTCCGCACGGATGAGTTAGAACATGCGTGGCGTGTTTTCACGCCGTTGCTTCATCAGATTGAAGAACAAAAAGTGATTCCATTCCCTTACGTCTTTGGCTCTCGCGGGCCGAAAGAAGCGGATGACCTTATGCGGATGAATGGCTTCAAATTCAGCGGAACTTATAAATGGAAGGGGCAGGTCAGCTCAGTTATTTTTGTTTCCTTTTTCGTTTATCGAAATATAAGTTTCAAAAAGGGATTAGTGGAATTCCTAACACGGGTAGAAAGTTATCTTCACGGTGTACTCCGCATATTAATTTTCCTGTGCAAAATCCCGACGTTTTGGATTGAGCTAAATCCATGGCCAGTGGACTTGCTGCAAAAACAATTGCAACAGCAATTTTGTTGCTTACTGTAGAGTGACGTTGACTTGCATAAAATAATCATCGAAATATTCATATGTACTGTACTTGAAACTGGCGGATTTACTAGCAGAACGTCAGTTCTCGATGCTTGTTTATTCACTGAATTTAAATAGCGTTTTCGTCGCATTCCATTACTCATAGGGACTTAGGGGACCCTTTAAGCAAGCAGCATCTCTGTCATATTATTGTGTAGGTACCCTGCAGTACCTATAGTACATGAACGTGGAACTGTATCACTATGCTTACTAATCCTCTTAACCACTAGAAACAAGGGGACGGTGTAATTACATTCTAAATCCGGAGAGAATATAACGTTATTAGCAAAGCGTTGTTTGTGTTTCCAAAATGCTTATGTTAGTTTTCAACTGCTTTTAACAGGATTACATAATGACTGGAAAACGGTAAAACGAATGACTACTTAATATTTCTCAAAGTACTTTAAAGTCGCTAGTCAGTTGTACAGTTGAGGCATTTGTTGCACCCAATTTTGGTCTGGCAACCTCCCAGACGAAAACGTGAACGTCTTTCTGTAAAAAATTTCTTCGAGTATAAAGCTTTTCCCACCTAAGTATATACATTTTTCAGAACAGTTTTGATTGCTTTGGAGAATTAAATAAAATATAGAAACTCTGCCGTTACCGTTCTCAAGTCCTGTTGAGAAAGGAGGTGGGTTGCGGACCGCGGAGAGGTCTATCATAAAACAGCTACCTGCCCCGCATGGCATTGCCGTTATGGGTCGTCGTCTGGTTTACGAGCACCGTGCAGATTGTG